GCAGGAGTAGGGGGCGTTGGGAGACTATCGTCCGGGGGAACGTAGTTCCTCGCGTGCTTGACTTCGCCTTGGCTTTTCTAATAAGTGCGGCCGTTGTGGTCCGCTATGATAGCGACGATTTTTGTAGTGGTGGGTTTTTTTCGAGGGGTTTGCCCGGACGCCGGGTTTCCCCTCCAAATATTACAATGTTGGTATTTTCTGATGTATCCAGGGGCATTCTTGCCCCATTGGTGGTTACACACTTGCGTGAAGAACCAGGGAGGGTGTTCGTGGGTCTGCGAACATTGGTGTTGGATACATGTATGTGCTGGATGACTTGGTGTCACGCAGACTGGTAAGATTGCCGCTTGGTAGGGGGCACCACGATGATTCACGGGGACCCTACTTGCTGTGGGAGCCGCTCTTTGAGCACTCCCTCTTTCTTCCGTGTGAAGAACGGTCGTCTACCTCTCGTGAAGTTAATACATCACGAAAACAGTCTCACCCGATAAATAAGTGGCGTATAGGCCGGAAACACACACATACATATATGTAGATTGTTTCCTTGGTCGGTGGCCTATACTGATGCCAGGTACGTTTTGCCTGCAAAGCAGCGACGGACCTACGTATATATATATATATTTTTTTTTTTGCCTTCCGACAACTGCAGATGTACCTCAGAAAACTTTCACTCAATGTCTCATACTCTACATGACAACATGTGTAGGAATTATTTCTATTGTCACTTACATCGTAAAAATATCTCCTCTTCAACTTGAAATAAAACCAATGACAATCCTCATGGTATCCTATATGCGTTCGTAAGCTTGCTAAAATACTCCTGCGTTGATGTCCTCTTGTAAAAGCTGAAATCCAACAAATGCTTTGTTCAATGCTACATCTCCGTGTTGGAAAAGCCCTTTCTTCTCCGTTCATGATAACATCTTACCCTATTCTACGCAAATCTGTCACATCTACTCTCAAACAAGACGCCAACTTCAAACGAAAACGCGTTCTACGATGCGTCTACACTACATCCGAATCCCCATATCATTGGCGTTGACTGGTTCGAGGTCGATCTTGTTCGCCTGTTTTCGGCGTCTTGACGCCCGCGCAATGCGAGCTTGTACCACTGCACTCGCCGAGATATGGCCACCTGTGTAGCCACCGAAACGATCTGAAGAAGTCGTTCCTTGAAGACCATCAAATTGGGAGATGCAGCATACCACGATATCCTGGCTTCGGCTGGGCTTGAAATAACCCTTTTTCTGTCCTCCGCTCTTTTGCATCAGTGGCTTCCTAGGTTCGGACAAGGGCATGTGTGGAGCTATGGAAGTGTATGTGTTGCTATTCTGTTTGTGTCATCTAGCTGCTGACACGATGACTGTTGGAACTTGGATATAGTCTATAATGCCGGGGGGGTATAACATCGGTGCAGTGCAGCAGTAGATATACATTCATGCCTCTGGGTGCGGTTGTGCACGATAGCTCAAACGAAGCTTCCAGGTGTATTTTCCCACTCTACTCCCCAACCCACAGGATTCATCAAAGAAAGGGTGCGCACTTGGTAGGTAGCAGTGTTGTCGAGGCGGGTCATGAGCTCTTATTTCTGTGCGCAGACCGGAATGGGCCTAAGTGCTACTACTACTACTGGGCACGTGCACGTGGCGCCTCCTTTGATGGTTCTCTTTGAAAAAAATCGCCTCTGGTTAAGGGTTATTTCACATACACGCTAATGCACACGTTGTCCTTCTGCTTCAGGCTGTAGACTATGCGACGCCCAGTATCGCACGATGGCCTGGACGATGAATTGCCTAGATAGCCAAAACGACCGCACCGCGTTCAACTTTTCGGGGTTCGACAAGCTCTTGGCGGGCTTGCCCGAGGCCATATTGTCGTGGGCGACGCCGCGTATGAGGCGTCCGAGCGCGTCGTCGTCCCGTTACCGGGGACGAGCCTCTCCGCCAGCCAAGTCGCGTGCAACTACTACGTGTCTCAGTGCCGGATGGTAATCGAGCAGACCTAATAATGCATGTTGGTGAGTGTTGTGGGCATGAAAAGAGTTGTAGGCGAGTCCGCGTATGCAATTGGGTGAGTTGGCGTCCTGATGTTAGAGGCAACTCGTGGCAAAGATCCTCGCGATGGGGGAGTGCGTGATGTCTGGTGTGATGTTGTCACAGAGCGCCGCGCATCTGTTATGGAGGAACAAGGAAATAAAAGGGAAGGGAGCAGGTTCGCTGCTCCTTGCTGGCTCACTCACAATTATTGTTGGGTTTCATGTTTTGTCCTCGTCATACCTAGCCCGCGTTCAGCGCTCACAAGTCGAGAGTGAGGACGGGGGCAATAATATTAGTCACAGCAACCAAGGAAAATACACAATATCCATGTCATGATGTCATGATCATACAACGCTCATACACTAGTTGCTCCATTACATTAGCCCACCCTGGAAGTCGTATATGCAGATACCCATCTTCAACCATACTCAGATAGATTTAGATCGAGATCGAAGATGCGACTTTCCATATAAAAAATAATAATAATAATTAAAGCAACTATAAAAAGTAGTGTCGGAGAAAAAGTTATCCTCGACAAGTACTTCAAACCATCAAACCTTCCCCACACCACCCATGTGATGACTACTGAGAATCACAACGCAGACAACAAGGTTCCAGCGGGAACTGATCGCGGCGGGTCCGGTCGTAGCAAATGTGGCAACGCCTATTTTGGCGCTACAATAAACCAGCTCACACCACTCAAACACGCGCCAGCGTTACATAGCGTGTCGTGAACGAGACAAAGCGCCAAATATCAGTAGAGGGGAACAAACGCCATGATTTGAAGGCGGCAAAGTAAAAAAGCATAAAAAAATATGTTGAATCGTCCCGTGAATCGACGACTTGAAACAACAGACAGGCAGGCGTTGAAAGTCGCCCAAAGTCCGGCCCATCGTTTCCCATCAGAAAACAGCGGCTAGCAGAGAAGTTTTCTCGCCAGCCGCTCTTCGCCTTGGTTTTGCACGGCCTCAGCTTCGGCCACGTCAACCGCGAAAATGCGGATGTTCATGCCATTCGCAAAATGTTCGCGCTCCCGAACGAGGAAATCGGAGAAGAGAGCAGGAAGGCAAGCACGTGACCGGCAAAGGTCCAAAAGAAATCGGGGCTCATTGAACACCCAGCCCATTAGGGAGGGTCACAGTAAGCGTGGGCCATCGATATGTTTGCTTCGAAGTCTTACGTGTGGGCTCGGTGTTCGTGTGTTTAGGTACGGACTGGTTAGATCTACCGGCAACAACAGAGAGAGGGCACGCAGATGGGGCATATGTACACCTTGAAATCCCCCCTTGAAATGGTTGCATGTGCGGGGACCCCTCGAATTCCAAAGAGGACTTCACTTCTCCCTACTCCCCTTGCGTGTCTAATACAAGAGATAAAACGTCTTGCCCTTCCAAGTAAAGGGCATATACGAACACACTAGTATCAGCGCCTCGAGGGAGACTCCATTAGGAATGTCAGGTCGCAAAGATGGAGATGACTCCTCCAGCGACTCTGCGGCGGAGAGCATTGGCTTGGGTGGGCTCATCAATTCCAAGCAGTATGTAATACGGTATTTCCGTCGTTATGGACCCAACGTGGCGATGCTGACGTCTGAGTCCGCCCCCCAATGTTGGTCTGGCGGAATATCGCGTCTTTCTGTGTGCTTCCGTCCAACGGACCAGTGGTCGTTAGACCTCCTCCGGCTCTCCCTTCTGAGGAGCCAGACGTCTGTCTCTCGTCCACCGTTGGTACCACTGCGGCTGCCCATATATTCGTTTTGCTCGAACACTATGTCCGAGAACTAACAGCTGTCGGAGAACGAGTGTGTGGCGGCATATACATTTTTGATATTTGGGATCCCCGACGGTCTTGCCTGAAGTATATTCGAAGACTCCGCGAAAATACGTGCCCAAGTTGTTGTGGCTTTCNGACGTCTGAGTCCGCCCCCCAATGTTGGTCTGGCGGAATATCGCGTCTTTCTGTGTGCTTCCGTCCAACGGACCAGTGGTCGTTAGACCTCCTCCGGCTCTCCCTTCTGAGGAGCCAGACGTCTGTCTCTCGTCCACCGTTGGTACCACTGCGGCTGCCCATATATTCGTTTTGCTCGAACACTATGTCCGAGAACTAACAGCTGTCGGAGAACGAGTGTGTGGCGGCATATACATTTTTGATATTTGGGATCCCCGACGGTCTTGCCTGAAGTATATTCGAAGACTCCGCGAAAATACGTGCCCAAGTTGTTGTGGCTTTCGGTTCTGCGAGCATGCCACGCTATACCACGTCTTTCCACCTGGACACCGCTCGGACTTCACGTATGTTGGAGCGTTCTTTTCTGGTGGATTGGTATGTATGTGTCTGTCCGTTGGTGGACTCGGCAATGTGCAGTTTGCCGAGTGTTCGTATATGTCCTTTACTTGAAAGGGCAAGACGTTTTATCTCTTGTATTAGACACGCAAGGGGAGTAGGGAGAAGTGAAGCCCTCTTTGGAGTTCGAGGGGTCCCCGCACATGCAACCATTTCAAGGTGTACATATGCCCCATCTGCGTGCCCTCTGTTGTTGCCGGTAGATCTAACCAGTCCGTATCCAAACACACGAACACCCTCCCCGGTTTGCACGCGAATGGCAAACCTAACGTGGGGCATGGATACCCCTGATCTACCAAAGGGACTCAAAACAACAACAGGCTCGAGGGAAACCCGGCCAACCGGATCAAAAACCCTCGTCTAACACCCCAAGTATAGGAAACCGTCGCTGTCACGGAGGATTCCAACGGCTGCACTTCCAAGACAAGACCAAGGCAGGGCAGATTGNCATCGGTAGGTTCATCAGAGCCTTCCGGTGGTACTCTAACTTCTCTCTGCCAAGGACCTTGGTCAGCATGTCGGCGTGCTGCTCTCCAGTCGGAACATACTCTGTAGTGATCTTGCCCGACTTGAATAGCTCGCGAATGAAATGGAACCCCACGTCGATGTGCTTGCTCCTCGCTGAGCTGAACGGGTTCTCGATTAAGGCGAGAGCTCCCTTGTTGTCCTCAAGGACCTTGATCTTCGCCCCACTGTCTCGGGCACTATGAACGACAAAACACCACGCACAAACAGCGCCTCCTTCATGCCCTCCCTGGCTGCCATTTACTCTGCTTACGAGGTCGACTGAGCCGGCACTGGCTAGTTCTTGGTGGATGCACACACTACGGTACCACCTACGGTCACAGCTAGCCCGGTCGTAGAACGCCTGTCTACTTCGTTGTCAGCATAGCTGGCATCGAGAAACACGCGTAGGTCTAGTCCTGACCCCCGTACGTAGGTGATGCCGAAGTCCTTCGTGAAGTTCAGGTAGGACATGATCCGCACAAGCGCGTTCCATATCCTCCCGGTGGGTGAGTGGGCGATCTTCTGGAGCTTGTTCAGAGGCAGGGCGATGTCTGGCCTCGTCAGCTTCGTCCACATCAGGTATCCGATCGCCTCCCTCACAGGCTTATCCACCGCGGGCTCGTCATCTCCCTTCGGCCCTATGTCGGCATCGGTGGCAGTAGGGGTGAAAGCGGTCGTGGTCACATTAAACCGCTTCAGCATACTCTCAATTTTTGCTGTCTGGGACAGCGTGGTGATGCCATTTTCTACATCCATGGCGATGGCACACCCGTCGTACCAGGTACACTCCCCCAGATCTTTCACCGGAAACCTATTGTTGAGGGAAGCGAACAAATCCTCTCGCTCTCCCTCGTCTGCTGCCACTAAGATGTCATCAACGTTGATCACGATGAGACCTACGACCTCTCCATCCACCACCTTCCGGAAGATACACGGGTCAACCCTGCACTGCTCGTATCCATACTCAATGAGGGCATCGGCAGCTTCAAACCCCCACTCACGGCCACTCTGCTTTAGGCCATACAGGGCACGCTCAACCTTGACCACCTTGCCGGACATGCTACCACAGCCTTCCGGGAACCTGAGGTATATTTCTTCTTTTAGCTTAGCGTGGATGTACGCTTGCTTCACATCCCAGTGAGCGAGTTTCTTGCCCTTTTCAGTGGCTACGGCAATCACCGTCTTGAGAGACGCTGCAGACGGGCACGCTGAGGATGAGCGGTGGAAGTCGATGCCGGGGATTTGAGAGAAACCCCGCGCAACTACACGGGCCTTGAAGTCGAGTATCAGGCCCTTCTCATTCGTCTTCCAAGAGAACACCCACTTTGAACCTATGGCCTTCCGCCCCTCGGGCAGCTCCTTGACCTTGGTAAAGGTTCCAGTCTTGTCGTGGCCATCTATCTCTTTCTTCATGGCCGTCTCCCAGAAAACCTTGTACTTGGAACACATCACATCCTTGTACGTCATCGGTACTGCTTCTACATCACTCGGCTCGTGCCCAATTGGCGAGGTCATACTTCCCCCCCCTCGGCCTGCTCCGCGGCCGGGGCCGAAATCGACCTAGTGAGTCCCTCGCGGGCGAACCAGGCCACAACAGATAGTAGGCGGGTGGTGTCCCAAGGTGCAACTCACCGCCACGCTGAGCCAGCGTGGCGGTGAGGATGCACAGACGGTGGTAGTGGCGAGAGGTGTATATGGACACTGTTCCCGCGGCAGTAATGCAAAGCGGCAAACTGCACCTGGCAACCACCGTCGCGGAAAGCGTGGCCCACGAAGCTGGAGGAGTAGAGAGATTCGTAAACACCACGTCAGTAAGCACCGCTCGCGGGAGAAGGGAGACGACCGCGGGCACCGCGGGGAGGGAGTGCTGCACCCTCCTCGTCAAAACACCACAGGCAAGAACCGAGCTCTGCAGAGATGGATTGATGCGAGGAAACTCGCCGCTCGGAAAATAAGGAAAAAAGCACACCCGCAACTCGAGGCGGACCGAGAGAGACACGAGACCGCAGCGGCTGTCAAGGCGGCTGCGACGAAGAAGGCACGAGAGGGCGACTATCGTTTGGCACGTTCAACGTACGCACGCTCGCCTACAGCGGTAGGAACCCCATCGGTCACAACGTGATGACGGTCATGCAGATTTGTTCCGCGACCGGCTGTGATGTGATAGGACTTCAGGAGACCCGACGAGAGGGGCAAGGTTCAATTGCACACGACGGGTACGTGATCATCTGGAGTGGCGCCCGTGCTGGCACCAAGGACAAGAGGGGCGTACACGGTGTTGGCATAGCGATCAAGAAGGCCATGTGGGAGAGAGTGGGCGAGGAAGGTAGGGCGGTGGAGTGCATTGNGATCATCTGGAGTGGCGCCCGTGCTGGCACCAAGGACAAGAGGGGCGTACACGGTGTGGGCATAGCGATCAAGGAGGCCATGTGGGAGAGTGTGGGCGAGGAAGGTAGGACGGTGGAGTGAGTGCATTAGCCCGATGCTGATGAAGGTGCATCTACAAATTGGCCGCACCTGCGGAGTAACTTTCGTGGTGGGGTACGCCCCCAGGGAAACTGTCCGCACCACCGCGGGCGGTGATGTTAACGCCAAGGACTCCTTCTGGACTGCTCTCGACGCAGCGATCCGGGAGGTTGACAGCCGTGACCATCTCGTGGTGCGAATGGACGCCAACGCACGCATTGGTAAAAGGCGAGACGGGTGCTGCGATGCCAAGATTATGGGCGCATACGGACGCGACGTTATGAACAACAACGGGGAACGACTCCTTGGACTGGCATCAGATAACCAACTCTCCCTGACCAACACCTACTTCCGGACACCGAAAGGTGGAGTGCAGCACACATTCCAGAGCTCCAACGAGGGGAAGGAGAAGTACCGCCTCGACTTCATCCTCATGCGTCAGACGGACAGGCGTTTCGTGCGTAGTGTGTCCGTCAAACGTGTCGACTTCAAAGACTCTGACCACAACCTCGTGCTTACGACTGTCCGCCTCCCCCCCGTGTCGCACCCAACCGACGAGTGCGGGGGAACAGCGGAAGCAGCCGGATCCGTATCGACCTC